CTACCCTTGACACCTCACCCATAAATGCCATTCATTGCGACATAATATATGAACAAATCTTGTTGACTATTACTAAAGATAAAATTAGAATTTCCAAGCCGTTATTACAGGAGCGATAAAAAAAGAAAACCCATATAATGATTTAGAAGAAATCTTTAAAGAATATGGACAAGTTTTTTGTTTAGAATTTATAATGGGCGAAAGAATAACAAAGTTAAACGGATTTTCACATTTTAAACAGGAAGATCTTACAAAAATAGTAAGCAACGGATTTAAAGAACTAAAGGACTGTCATGAAATTTTGGCTGAATGGAAAACCCTTCTTAATCAACACCAAATGGATTCGGAAAGGTTTTATTTGTCCAATAGCAATTCAACTATTAATATTAACAATATAAATGACATTGATCTATGTCTAAGTACTGTTGTTCCTAAAAACCAAAATTCGTGGAAGATCATTAACCGTCTGCAATTAATACCTTTATATAAACTTCTTAAAGATGATTTTCAAAAGGAAATAGAAATTTTACTAAGCGATGAAGAGCGGATTTTGATGGATGGCTACTTTAAACTCGAAAATAATAAAATTCGATACTGTACTGTAAACTTTGGTTTTCTTCTAAAAAGTGATAATTATCAAATTATTGGTTCAATAGTTTCAAATAATTCAAAGAGATCAGATTTAAATTTAAGATTTCAAATGCTGACAGTTTCAGGATTTTCTGTTGTAATTGAGGATATTGATAACAAAGAAACATCAAAGGAAGCAACCGAAAAGTTCGTAAAACTTTTCTTTATTATGCATTTGCATTATTACATTGCCTTATCTATCCAATTAATTTTTTTCTAGTGATTTAACGATCTATTGGCTATTGATCGGAAAACCACTGTATGTCAGATACTTTAGCAAAAAAACCAGAGACACACGAATTTTAAGCGGTATGGTTGGCATTACACTTTCATGTAAACAAAAAATTTATGAGATTGATATGAAGAAAGAAATGGAGAAGGTAGGATTGCCACCATTATCACCGGATTACATGATTGCAACCTCCTTCAAATTTCTTTCACCAAATTTTAATCCTAAATTTCAAGTAGCCCTAAATTCATGGTAATGTTGAAAAGAGCGTTGAAGAGGATTCATATTTAATACACGTACTGTAACTAGGAACATCATATTAATAAAAATATTATAAATTTAGGACAAAGACAAAAATCTACTTAGAGATTACTAATCATTCATTTGAAGAAATAAATTCGTTATTTGAAAAAGAAACTCTAGATTCCATACAAAATTCATGCCACCTAACTTGGTATGTTATATATACGACACATCAAATTTTTTGGGAGCACTTAGGTTACTATCTTAAAAAAGGTATTTTGAAATCATGCAAATATTTCTTTTCATATCAATTTTTTGTACAACATATACTTCATTTACTCAAATGTTGTTATAGAAAAAGAACTAACATTAGAAAATGATATGAATGACTCAGAAACACTAAAATCTCGAGGAACACTTTATATGCTAAAAAATTATGAAGAGTCTCTTTCAGATTTAGATAAATCATTAGAGCTTGATTCTAATAATGCGATTATGCTAAGATCTCGAGGCCAAACATACTATATGCTAAATCGTTTAGAAGAATCACTTGCAGATTTAACTAAATCGTTAGAAATTGACCCGAATGATGCTATCACTTTAGAATATCGAGGACAAACTCACTTTAAATTAAAAGAATTTAACAAATCCCTTAATGATTCGACAGATTTATTAAAATTTAATCCAAAAAACACTACTGCGCTATTGGTTAAAGGACAATCTTATTTCGGATTAGAAAAATATGATGAATCTATAAAAAGTTTGACAGAGTTGTTAGACTTTAATCCAGAATATATCGATGCATTAAATACCCGAGCACAAGCATATTACGTAATTTGTGAATATGAAAATTCACTTAAAGATTTAAATAAATCATTCGAGCTCGATTCTAATAATGCGATTACGCTAAGATCTCGAGGCCAAGCATACTATATGCTAAATCATTTAGAAGAATCGCTTGCAGATTTAACTAAATCATTAGAAATTGATCCGAATGATTCTATTGCTTTAGAATATCGAGGACAAACTCACCTTAAATTAAAAGAATTTAACAAATCCCTTAATGATTCGACCAATTTATTAAAAATTAATCCAAGAAACACTACTGCCTTATTGATTCAAGGACAATCTTATTTCGGATTAGAAAAATACGAAGAATCTATAAAAAGCTTGACAGAGTTGTTAGACTTTGAACCAGGAAATGTCGAGGCGTTAAATACCCGAGCACAAGCATATTATATGCTTCGTAAATATGTAAGGTCACTTAAAGGTTTGAATAAATCGTTGACTTTGGACCCAAATAATATTGAGTCTTTAACATTTCGAGGACTAGTTCATTATAATTTAGGAAAATATAATGAATCAATTGGGGATTTGACAAAATCATTAAGTATTGAATCAAATAATCCATTAGCTCTAAGATATCGAGGACAAGCGTACTATATGTTAAAATACTATATTAAATCTCTTAAGGATCTAGACAAATCGATTGAATTTGAACCAAATAATGCAAATGCACTATGTTTTCGAGGACAAACGTATTATATGTTAAATCACTATAATGAATCTCTTACAGATTTAACTAAATCTTTGCAGATTAATTCAAATAACGCAGTTGCATTAAGATTTCGAGGACAAATATATTACGGTTCTGGAAACTACGATAATTCTTGTAAAGATTTTACTGAATCGTTAAAGCTTGATCCTAGTAACACAGATTCACTAAGATTGTTAGGTTATTCTTCTTTTAATTTGAAGCAATATAGTGAATCTTTCGATAAATTAATAAAGTTATTAGAAATTGACTCTAATAATCCTGTTACTTTGAGATATTTGGGACAAACATATTATGAGTTGAAAATGTATAATGATTCTCTTGAAACGTTAACAAAATTATTAAATTTTGAACATGAAAATTTTGAAGGATTAAGGACTCGAGGAATGGCACATTATATGCTTGGAAAATACGAAGATTCTATTAAAGATTTTACGAAAGCATTAAATTTAGAACGGTGTAATGCATATATCTTAAGATATCGAGGAAGAGCTTATTATAATTCAGGAAATTATGATAAATCTCTTGAAGACCTGACTATGTCATTAAAATTTGAGGAAAATAACGCATTTGCATTAAAAACTCGAGGACAAACATATTATATGTTAAAACGTTATGA